ACAAAGTTAAAGAAAATATATGAAGTCAATGATAAATCTTGAAGTTTTACAAAGATTAATGTAGGTAATGTTTTTTCTTGTAATAACTATCTTGGAAGTTATTTTAACTATCTAGGCCTTTTATCTTTATAAATTAATTTTTTTAATTTAAAATTTTTAATTTAAAACAAAGTTAAAGAAAATATATGAAGTCAATGATAAATCTTGAAGTTTTACAAAGATTAATGTAAGTAATGTTTTTTCTTGTAATAACTATCTTGGAAGTTATTTTAACTATCTAGGCCTTTTATCTTTATAAATTAATTTTTTTAATACTTTTCAATATTCAAAATAGGTACCTAGTCGATTCAGCAAGAAAAAAAGAACGTTTAAGAATTTCCTTTCAAAAGATATAGTTAGTAAAATTTTACGTTAGTTATATATATATATATATATATATATATATATATATATATATATATATATATATATATATATATATATATATATATATATATATATGTATATATATATATATATATATATATATATATATTTTAAGATATATATATATTTTAAGATATATATATATATATATATATCTTAATATATATATATATATATATATATATATATATATATATATATATATATATATATATATATATATATATATATATATATATATATATATATATATTTTAAGATATATATATATATATATATATATATATATATCTTAATATATATATATATATATATATATATATATATATATATATATATATATATATATATATATATATATATATATATATATATATATATATATACATATATATATATATATATATATATATATATATATATATATATATATATATATATATATATATATATATATATATATATATATATTCAGGGGTTCTTCAAGGTTCAATCCTTGGCCTTATACTCTTTTTAATTTACATTAACAATCTTCCAGATATTATTACATCTAAGGTGGCATTGTTCGCTGACGACACTACTATTTATTCTTGTCATGATAAGAAGCCTACACTCTCTGATTGCTTGGAGGGGGTATCTGAGCTTGAAAAGGATCTCACCTCGGCTACAGCATGGGGCTCACAATGGCTGGTGAACTTTATTTCAGATAAAACTCAATTTTTTTCGACCAATCGTTATCGCAATAATTTAGATCTTTCTATATTTATGAATGGTAATGTACTAGATGAGTCATCTACCCTTCATCTTCTAGGACTAACTTTTACTTCTGATCTTTCTTTTAAACTGTATATCAAATTCATTGCAAAATTAGCATCTGCTAAGGTTGCATCTCTTTATCAAGCTCGACACTTCCTTACTCAGGATTCTATTCTCTATCTCTATAAATCTCAAATCCGTCCCTGTATGGAATACTCAGATCTCAAGATATTAAGGTGCAAAAACGCATTGTAAACATAGTTGGACCTGGTTGTGCAGCCAATCTCCAACCATTGTCACATTGTCGTGATATTGCTTCTTTTTCTCTTTTCTACAAATACTATAATGGGCACTGCTCTAAAGCTAGTTTTTTTCTTCGAACATCCGTTCTTTGGAATTTGCTTCCTTCATCTTGCTTCCCTGATTCATATAATTTGCAATCTTTTAAGTCATCTGTCAATCGTTATCTTGCTCTACGAACTTAATCTTTTCTCTTCCAATAACTTCCAAACTCTTATAGTGGTTGTTCGCAGCCTTGTTGGAAGCGAAGATGTAATATATATTTTTTCTATTATAATTTATATATATATATAAATTATAATAGCATATTGTTTTTTAATTAACTAATATATAGTCTTTAATTCATTTACTTACTTATCTTAAGAATAATGAAATATAAAAAACGTTTAAAGTTGAGAATAGTTTTGATCTTTACTAGTATGATTCTATTGCCAAGTTTCTTGAATTTGATCAATCATTTCTCGATACTAATGTTGCAAAAAGTAGTATATTTTTTATTATGGTTAAATGTTTAGTTTTCTTTTATAAGGGTAAATTACATAAAAAATTTTGATCTGTAATTATATACATAATGCTCACTTTACAAATAAACATAATTTACACAAAATTTTTGAATTGAATAAAATACTAATGAATTGCTCCTATGCCTTATATAACTTACTCTAAATTGTCCCATATCAATTACACTAGTGTTATCTTTTGAATTTAGAAATAGAATTTATTAAATGTTGGTGGCTCATCATGCAGTGCATTTGAGAAGGGCATGCTTTCAAAGTAAGTATAATTTTACTATAAAAAGAGCGTTTTTAATACCGCAATTATATTGCATACTTGATATACATAAATATATACGCTGGTCACAACAATCCAGGCAAAAATTTCTTTAAAAAAATAAATTTAGTGTCGAGAAATTCGTATTTTTTGATGTTTGATGTTATGTTTATAAAATAATAATTATATATATGTGTGTGTGTGTTATTTATTTCTTTCCCCTTTATTTTTACATACTTATCTTAAC